GAGTTAGCTTACGAGTGTGAGCTCTGAGCAACAGGAACGCCAGTTTGATTCCCACATGGGCCAGTGACACTGCGCCCGAGCAGAGCTGCCACTGAGCTGCCAACAGGTGGCAGGATGGCTCAGCTGGTGAGAGCCCCGTGCTCCTAACAACAAGACTGCCTGTTTGATGGTGGGCTACGCCTGCCAGCGACTAAGACTGAACTCGGCACCTTGAGCTGAGCTTCCACCTGGATGGCTCAGTGGATAGAGCGTGTGCTCTTAACAACAAGGCTGCTGGTTCGACTCCTGCATGGGATGGTGGCTACGCCCACCCACAACTAAGACTGAACTTGGCACCTTGAGCTGAGCTGCCACCCAGTGGCTCAGTGGATACAGCATGCACTCTTAACAACAAGGCTGCTGGTTCCACTCCCGCATGGGATGGTAGCTACGCCCACCCACAACTAAGATTGAACTCAGCACCTTGAGTTCAGAGGCCATGAGCTGCCGATGGGCAGCCAGATGAGATGGTGAATGGTGCCCTCCACAACTAAGATTGAAGAACAACAACTTGCTGGTCTCCTTCCCCAATTCTCCAACACTGTTCTCCTCCCCCAAATCCCCAATTTAAAAAAGAAAAGAATAGGCTAAGGATATAAATATTTATTCAAAGAAGATATAAAAATGGTCAATAAATACATTAAAAGATGCTCAACATCACTAGTATTTAGGAAAATGCAAATTAAACCTATTTCACTAGAATGAGTATAATTTTTAAAGAACACAAAAAGAACAAATATTGGCAAAAAATGTATAGAAATTGTAACTCTCATACATTGTTGCAGAGTATGTAAAATGGTTCAGTCAATTAGGAAAACTGAATATACTACTGAATTGTCTACTTTAAATGGGTGATTGTTTAAATGTATAAATTGTCAATTATATCTCAACAAAGCTATTAAAAATATCAACACATTAAAAGCAAAATATTTTAATGACATAGACAGATTATTCTGTAATAATGTTAAGAAAAAAGCTGAAGGCAAAACTGTCTGTCTATATATTCAACTATGTGCATAAAAATAAATCTGAAAACAAATATACCAAACCAATTATAATGGTGTTTCTCTTTATACTTTTGTGTTCTGTCTAAATTTTCCACAAGTATGAGTATTTCAATTAAAACTAAAAAATCTTAAACAATAAAGGCAATTACAGCACTTATTTTCCTTTTACTAATTCAGCTATTAAAAATAAATAACACATTAATTTCTTCTGAGATTCTGATTATGTAGAACCAGGTTATTGCTGTTATGGAGTTAGCCTACAATTTCCAGAAAGACTTTCAAGATAAAGCATTTGGGGTGTGGGGATGGGGGTAAGTGGCCCATCGAGCCATCATCCCTTGAGCCTTGAGAGAACACACTTACCAAAGTCCCTGTCGGATCTGTAATCCAACTAGTAGGTCCAAGAAACTTACTTAGATGAACACAAATAGGCATTTTTCACAATCACCATTATTTACAGATGCAAACACTGTGTGAAATATAGTATTTATACTCAGCTGTGATTTAACACTATCTATTTCCATAATGAGTGTTCAAAAGGATGACTGAATAGGTCCTCTAATTGAACATGTAATAGCTGTTAATAATCCAGGGGCTTCTTCAGTTATTTTAATTAAAATCAAAATCGAGGAGTAAAAATTATAGTTTCTCTCTCTGTGAGGTTAACAGTAAACTACCAAAGAATATACTCAGCAAACAAATTTTCACTGGTTTGTATAAATAAGACATTACATCTGATCTAAAGAGTAATAACTCAAGAAAGAAAATATATGGATTTGTTTCAGATTCAAATGTAGATATATGATTGTGACATTAAGAAACTGACTATTGATTTGGTGCTTGTTTTGCACTGATAATGAAACAGAGAACTCCAATATAATTTACCCTATCTCTTAAATATTGGATTTTTCCATTTTGGAGCTAAAGAAAGCAAGAAAGAATGTTTGTTTTTTATTTGTTTGCTTTTCACATAACTCTAAACCTGTTCAAAAGAATTTTTAATTTTAAAAATATTTTAAATACTTTAAATTACTTGTCATATAAATTTAAAAAGTTGTTTGAACTAAAGGCAAACTCATTTTGTGTATGTAGACGCAATCATTATCTTTATCACATTTTATATTTCTTTTTTTAAAGCAGGCATTTTCTACTCTTGAAATATGAATATATTTAACAAGCTACCAAAGATAACTTGTATTTAACTCAAATAGATGGCAATAGTGTTGACTGAATCTTCCTACTCCAAATTCTTCTGACACAGCATGTGCAATCATGTGGCTTTATTTAGTTTCCCCTTCCTGACCCTAGATCACTATGATTTAAAAGCATGGGTTCATGCTTTTTCTGGAAGATTCTAAGCATAATTACAAAAAGTAGCAGAGAAAACACACCAATAATACTGCTACGACCTTAGTGACCATCTCTTTAGACACTAATCAGATTCTGCTTGGTGTTACCATTATTTTGTCTAAACATCGACAGGTTGTGTCATGTTCATCTTTCTGTCCTCCAGAACACCTAACTATGCACATTGTAGGTGCTCACCAAATATTTGCTAAGCGACTGAGCAAATAAATGAATAACTAATGACTGCAGCCGTACTTCTATTCAAAAGAGAAGAGTGGAACAAACCTACTTCTATGCCTTTTCCAGATGAAATGAAAAACTAGATTCTAATGGAAGTAGTTTGGATTTCATTATGACTAATTAAGGTCCTTCTCAATTGACTTTACTCTCAAAGTCACAAATTAAAGGAGAATAAAGTATGAGTTTGCCTCTTAAATGTCTTAGTTTTTTTTTTAATTATTATTCTGATAAAGAATGAATGACTTATAGAGTTTGGGGAGGTTAGAGTTGAAGGTCTTGGGGAGGGTTGTTTTGTTTTAACATTGAAGTAAGTGCATTCTCTAATCCCTTCTTCACACACACACACACACACACACACACACACACACACACACACATAAGATGTTACACTGAAGTTTCGAAGTACCTCCTAATTTAAACCTGGTCCTTAAATGTTGGTGCTTCCTAGGGTTTTGTCTTTGGCCCACCTCTACATGCCCTTCATGTTCTCATTGAAGGATGATAGTCACTTCCAGGGTTTTAACTTCCACCTATATGCCTAATTAGAGCTTCTAAATCATTATCTCTAACACTGTTTTTGTCTTAAACTTCAAATGTCTATATATCCAGCTGTCTAGTAATATCTATACGTGGATATTTCTTACTTTCCTAAATTCAAAACTTTCAAAAACTCATCTCCACACTCGCTAACACACACCTAAATTAATTAATTAATTTTTAAAAACTTGGCTAAATCTCTTCTCTCAATTACTAGTATTTCCATTTATCTAATCATAAAAGACAAAAAAAGCCTAGGGTTTATTCTAGGTCTGGCGTTGGCAAACTATAGTCCATAAATCTGTTTTTGTAAATAAAGTTTTACTGGCACACAGCAAGGCCCATTCATGTATGTATTGTTGATGGCTACTCTCACAATATAATGAATGACAGGGTTGAGTGCGATAGAGGACGTATGGCCCACAAAACCTAAAATATTTACCATCTGTCCCTTTCCTGGCCTCTATTTTAGACCATTCTCTCTCTCTCTCAGAAGGCAAAAGCTAACTATTTTTCCCTCCTATAGATCTCTCAAATTCATCCCTACTGCCTCTCAAACTTGGGGTCTCAAAGTCTCTCCCCTGGGCTGTTGCAACAATGTCCTAACCTCATCCTTCACCTACCACCTGGGTGATACATTTAAAACACACATTTGTTATACTGTTGGGAGACAATTCTTCATGGGTCTCTAACATACCTGCACATCTTGTGAGCAGAGGTACTGACAGTGTTTGATCCAGACTGTCTTTTCTAGAATATTTGTATAGCAAACATCATTGGAAGACACAGTGTCTCCCTCCAGGACACAGCAGGTTTCTTTGCTGTCCAGCATAATAAAGATCGTATCTCCCTTCAGGAGAAAGGTTGGGCACGTTAGCATGCATCTCTCCCATAAAATATTAGGGAATCTGAAGCTCGGGTTTTCTTGGCAGCGATGCAAACCCACTGTGTGCACAATATCCCCCTACGCCCACCTTCCTATTCCCCCACAGAACTTAGAGGGCAAGATGAACCAGTACCAACTTAAACCTCAGGCTGCCTGCTGTGCCACGAGTAACCAAGTCTTTCGTCTCCGCCCCAGGTGTCTTATGTCCATTCATGAAACTGTAGCATGCTAACTTGTTAGTTTGCAAGGTTAAAATCTCAGACCCTCCACAGTTTTTAACATTCAGCCCTTTCCAGGTTCTCTCCATCAGCAATAGGCTCAAGTCCAGGTGCCTCAGCTTAGCATATGAGGCCCTCGGTGACAGGTGGACCTGTCCCTCTGGCCTCATCCTCTACCGTTCCCCTCCTCTTGGCTCCTCATGGTCCACAGCTGTCATAGCTCTCCAATTAGCACATCCTATTCTGTGTCTTCCCATCTTAGCTCATGTTGTCCCTTCTGCCTGAACTGCCTTCTAGTTTCGCCAACCACACTTCTTTTCCAATTCCCACCCCCAGGCTAAACTCAGAGCCCTTCCTCTGGATTCCCAGAGCACCCTGAAAACAACTCAGTTGTATCATTGTTATATTTTGGAAAGCGTGCATTGTGTGCTTCTGAGACTCATCAGGCTCTGAGTTATTTGAACGAGTGGGCAGTGTCTTCTTCATCTTCGTACCTCCAGCACCTCATTTGAGGCCAGGACCAACAGATGCTCAGTAAATGTTTACTTGTTGCACTGATCAGAACTGAAATAAATTAAACAGATACATTAGCCCTACTGTCCTTAATACTCACTTTGGAGAAAAAAATAATCCTTTTCACTTGTATTCTTAAATTGGAAAAATTGCTTTCCTACTTCCTTTTTGAACACTATTTTCCCTTTTAGGATATGATTTATTATGACTTACCTTCCAGAGGAGGTAGGAACTTAAGAAAATGTTCAATAGAGTATTGATATTTCTCCACATCTAGTTTTATTCTCCAAACTCTATTGGATTAGTCCAATGATCCCTGATATCAGTAACTGAAAAAGAAAAGCCGTCCAATTCTTTAACACTAAGCACTTGTAGAATGTACTGAATTATGTCAGAGAACATGGGCCACCGCGCGTGGCCTGAGTGCTCCGCCTCCTGGGGAAACCTCCTGGTTAGGGCACTGTCTTATCAGCTCTAGAGGAAATAATTTCTAGTCTTTAATTAACTGGGCGGGACAAGGTGTCTCACTGTAGGGAGACTGCTCCCATCAGATCTTTCAGGACCATCTTACATAAAGTGTGTGCTGAGAAATTCATTTTGAAAAGCATACAGAGAGCTCTGCCCCAAGGCCTTTCAGAACATCCCCAAATGCATTGCTGGTAGCACTGAAGGAGTTAGTAAGTGGTGGAGACTGTTTACCATTCCCTTGATTGCTCTATGGAAGGATTTATGCTTAAAAAAAAAAATGAAGATGAAAGCAAAAGAAAAAGAAGGGTGGAGTAGAGAAGAGGCCACTGTTGGCATCCTAAAATTTTAATAGCTCCTTCATATGAACTCGCTGATACAAATAAAATAATTTCAGGCCATGCCATGTCGTATCTAGAGGCCAGCATTCGTATGCTGAGGCTCCCAGATAATCCCCCTGCAAACTCAAATGAAGCCATCCACACTGCTGCAAACTGCGCACTACACTGTGCATTCCAACCAAGAAATGTAATGCCTAATAGAACATGGCTAAAATATCCCTACATTGAATATTTTACTGGGTACAGTATTTATACACACTCTGGGGAAAACATTGTCTCAGAGCTTTCCATTGACCTTTCCAGATAATATAATCTCTTGTCCCTTTGAACCTGGATTAAGAAATTGAACCTGAACAAATCAACCAATCCTAAAATGGCTGTCATCAAAGACCATTATCATTTTTTTTAATATAGTGGTAGAAAAGGGACATGTTCTGCCTTCACTTCAAGCTACATTTCAGAACCGAATATACCCCCCACTCTCTAATTCAAAGGCAGAGACCTAGACCAAAGTCAAAACCACATTGCATCAGCCGCTTCACAAAAAGCAGCTCCTCCTTTTCTGAACCCCTTGCTTGCTACCAGTGGAAAGTGTAGTGCATCACACTACTACATAAATATAACCCACCAATGTGTTAACGAATCGAAGACTTGAGAAATTATATTTAGACTTCATACAAGTGGGAGTTATTCCAGAATTTGAAATATATTACTGAAACATTTGGCTATAAAAAAAATAACAGAAAATATTTACTATGAGAACATATTTCTCATCATCTTGTGAGTACTTTGGTATTGAATACAAAGTCTAAAAACTCCTACTCTCTTGCTTTCTTATAAAAATCTTATGGTTAGTGTGTCTTTTTCAAGACAGTAGAAAAAACTTTCGATAACCTCACGGAAAAATAAAAATTTATTGCCTATTTCAGAAGATATTAGTAGTGACATGCACATATACATCAAAACATTTTTGTCTGTTTCCTAAAACTCAAAATTTTATGACGGTAAAAGTTCAGGATCTTGAAATTAATGCACTCATCAAAATGCTAAGTGTACAGATGCTCAGTAGGGAAATACGTTCAAAATAGCTAGAAAGTAGCTTTCCAATAATGTGGACAATGCAAGATTATCGCAATATTTGCAAAAGACAATTGTAACAGAAGAAGACTTGTACATAAAATTCATTAGCTCTAATTTCTCCCCAAACATCAAGGGGATTAAATTCGTTTGCATCAGTCTCTGGTGTTAATCCTAAAGAATTTATTAGCCCCTGGCAGGCACTGTTTTAGAAGTACTTACTGTTTTTCTTTCTAGGTGTTCTGAGATTGTCACCTCACAGATGCCAGGAAGCGTCAGCAGAATATTGTAAAATCACCATTCTCTCAGGCTTGGATCCCGACGGCAGCTGCAGCCAGGTTTGTTGTGGTTGTCCCAGGCAGCAGCCGTGCTGACAGTTACAGTGGGGAATGTTCTCCATTTAATGGGGCATGGTCAACTGCGCTAGGTATGAGTAAATAACAGGCAAGGTTGAGTAGCCACTGCGTTCAAAACATTTATTGTATGAAAGTTCATGCTTGACTGGCTCAAGTATGCTTATTATAATAGCTAAGGGAAAAAAATTCAGATGGTATCTGGTTACAAAAGTATGGTGGCCACTGAAAAATCTGTAGTTTATTCTGCAGGTTTCTACCCACCTCCCTGACACGACCATTCCCTTTGTTTTAAGGATGAAAGTTCTGAGCCTGTAGGATGCATGATGTAAAAGGTTATTTTCACGGTTGTTTATAGGTTCTACTATCTCAGAGACACTAATGCTTCTGGCTCATTACAGCTTTTTATTTTTCCCTCTCAAGACTTCTGCCATATTGCACATTAAGTTTACAGTATGTTGATGTTTTTCGGTTTTATTTTACAGATCCATTTTAAATTTAAATTCTTATCATAGTTGCATCCTTTAGTTGCTGGTTGGCATTACAGCGGTTTTTCCAGTGCAGATAAAAAGCACACGCATTTCAGCAGTCCTAAGAATGCTCTTCTTTGAAGTGAGATCCCACTCATTCTAAAGGAGGAGTTTTAACAACAAAACAACAAGCCTAATTCCAAAACAAGGATTTAAAGACTTGCAAATGACCCATAAGAAACTAGAAAAGTACTCTATTTATAGTCAATGCTGCAGATATAACAATTTGGTGTTGATTTTCTATTTTTTATGACAAGGGAAACATGAATATAAATTACCCCTTTGTTTCCTAGAAGAAAAACAGTGGCTATCTATAGTTAAGAACCACATTATTTTGACTTTAAACCTGAAAAATTTAAATTGGTAACTGAAATAAAAAATTCCAGCTATAGCTAACCCTTTTTAAACAAAAAATTTCTTCACATAACTGGCGTTATTTAAGACTGGCTAGTTTCTGTCCAGTCTGCTGAGACTGTTCAAAAGCAGCAATAGCATTCGCTTTCTTAATGCAAAGGGCTCAGTCTTATCACCAAATTATTAACCTATTTATCCAGATTTATCTGTCTAGATTCTTGTCTCTAAATGCATTTGAATTTAAGCCACTCAGAGTTCTGACACATTTTATTTGCATATTAGATTATTCTGCTGTGCTGTTAAAAATTCATTTCAGTAAAATGAGATTGGATGATTTCTAATCTTTGATGTTCACACTTTCTGTTTTAGAATTTTCAAGGAAACAGGTATCATTTTCAATGGTAGTATATTTAATGGCTTATGAACCTCAAAATCTAGAGTTCTTTCTTATTCGTTTCTGCAGTAATAACCGAGGCCTTCGGCTGTCATTTGTACAAGAAATGCAGTCAGTATTGGGATGGGAGACAGCACAAGTCATGATAGATGTAAACAAATTAAAAAAGTAATACTACAGTGGTCTAAGAAGCAGAAACTTTCTAATTCGCTGGTATTATTAATTGAAAATGATATGAACTAATGAAAGCAGCATATCTAGGTGTGACATGAATAGGGGAGCTCAAAATATTAAAAGGGGAAAATAAGCAGTCCTTCTAACTAGATTGCAATATGATGAGATACCGCCATTTTCAAAAGAAGCTAAACTTCCAAAGAAACGCTCAGTTCCACTGGTGTTCTCACGGGAAGTTGTTTTGGGAAAGAAGCAAAAAGAAAACTATCAATATTCTAGAAATAACTGAGGCTTCTATGTTATGTACATAGGAGATTCAAATGAACAGGATGAGTGAGAGAATAGAGGTTTTCACATCTATCTATATTAGCTTAAGAAATTTAACAGGCTTGCTATCCATGTTTTTGTATTATTTCCAGGTTTTTTATAAATATAAATATATGTGAGATATATGCGTATTCTCCGAGCTATACACCAAACTCTTCATCATGGCGACTCTCTCAGAGGCGACACCGTGGGAGTTGGATGGTGGAGTATCACCACTTTTTCATTTTTATAATTCTATATTTAATTTTTATGCATATGTATTTCCTGTACTAAAATGTATTTCTGCTTTCTTTGTCATTCATAAAGAGGAACTCTGAGACACCCTGTAGTTTAAAAAAAACAACCTTTCCTGGCCATCCATACTAAGAATTAATTTAAACTGAGCTAGCCCCTTGTGGCATGTTTAATAACTAAAACCTCTTAGCTTAAGTTATTCAATGGATTTTTCTCTAGAACAAATCATTTTAAAGTGAAATTCTAACATAATATGGACAGGTAACATATTGTTTCTAATGTTACTGCCCTTTTTTTATTAATAAAAATGCAGCCCAGTACTTAATCACCGCCTGCTAGGGGATATATGATTGCAATACAGAGTTTACCAATTTCCCCAAGAGCATGCCATTGGGACGAGCCTCGGGATTTCTTTCACTTTCCTCGTTTGCATTTCCCAGTAGGACACAAGTGATGGAAAATACATGTGTGTGGGCACAGAGCCTAGAGGGCTCGCAATTTACACTGTTCAAGGTACAGGGTGTGCCAGGGATTAAAGCTGCTATAAGCAGCCACTTCTATCTTTGGCACCCCTTTCTAAATCCTATCACCCCTAAAAAATAATCATCATCCTCTCTCCTTCCATTTTGGTGCCAGCCATACAGCTAAACATCTCATATACATCTCATATACATTGCATCTAAAATAGGATTTACTGGACTCTCATCCTTCACAAAATGCTGTGGGTTGGAATCTCTAGGAAACAAATTCTAAAACAGAAATTTGCACACAGGATGTTACCGGGTGTGCTCTTGGTCCAATATCTGTACAGATGTGAAGGATGTAGGAATGGGCAGAGGAAGCAATTGGGCTGCAGTGGAGTCACAGCAGAGCCTCACCCAGGTCTATGGCAAACTTGGGAGCTGGAATGGCCCTGCCAAATTGGCCTGCAGTGGAGCAAGGTCAGACATTAATCCCCTGCACCAACCAGTCAGATGCAGAGGCAGAGGCAGCACACTGGACAAAGTAGCTCTTTCCAGCCCAGTGCAGTCCCCAGAGAAGGGATACTCAGCCACAAGAAGTCTGCCATCTTAGTCCCAGCAGCCGAAGGAGTGAGAGCTTCCTTCCTGAAGGGTAGAGCTGAGCTGTGCTCCACAGCACCCTGCACACTAACTGTATCAGCCTCTTTCTACAACAGAATGTTGGCACTTATCAGAATAAACCATTTAACTGAGACTGTTGTTCTGTTTGGCTCAATTTGTACACACTTAATATGTCACCATACATAAATATTCTCTAGTCCATTTGTCAATTCATTCAATTTTGTTCAATTCAGCGACTGTGCTGAGTCCCTGCACTATGCAAAGCACAGCCTAGCTCTGGTGATACAAGAATGGATAAAGCATAGTGCAGAAGAATGAGTCACATTATAAAGTGGTCACTGAGCTTTTACCACATGGCAGGTATTGTGAATCTCATTTAATTCTCTAATAACCTTGTAAATTAAATTCTACTTTAATACCCATTTTTCCGTTGGGGAAACTCATGATTGGAGGGGTTTGGTAGCTTTCCCAAGGTCACTCAGCTAATAAGGTTTGGAGCAGGGTTTGAATCTAAACAGCATGACTCCAGAACTGAGTCCCTAACCACCAGGCCTGGAGAATTGGAAAAGACATTCCAAGAAAGTGATACTGAGATCAGCTTTGGGTGATGTTTAGGATTATCAAGGTGAATAAGGGTTAAAGAGTATTCTAGGCAGAGACTACCACAGATAAAACAAAGAAATGAGGTGGAACCACAAGTAGTTCAAGGTTACTAGAACACAGAAGTGCAAAGCAGGGAGTGGCAAGAGGTGCAATGGAGATGGAGACAGGGACCAGGTCACCGTGAGCTTACCAAGCCTTGCTAAAGAATGTTTGCCTGATCCTAGAGGACAGAAAGCCTTTCAAGAGTTTAAAACAAGAAAAAACAAGGTGGAATTTGTGCTTTGAAAGATCCCTCTACTTAGTGGGAAATTGGGATGCAGTGCCATGCTGAAGACATGTGCTTCAGTTGCGAAGAGACAAAGAAGCCATTAAGATACCTGGTTAGCTGACCGGGTCTTTGGTGGTGTTGCTAACATAAGAAATTCAGAAGGATCCTTCAGTGTGGGGAGGGTGGGGCTGACTGTGATGAAGAAAGGCGACAGAGCAGATGTTGAATTCATGTTTAAGGAGATTATGAAACATGTAAGTTTATATGTCCACTGGGCAGCTGGGTATTTAAATCTGAAGTGCACATGAGAGGTGAAGGCTGGATACAGTTTGGAGACTTACCAGAATGTAAGTGGTAGTTAAAACCATAGGGATAAAATGACATTTGGAAGTTTTCTACACTGAGTGTAAAAGATAAGAGCAGTGGACTGAGGATGAAACCTTAGGGAAGGGCAAGCAGAGAAGAGCTTATGAAGGAAGACAAAGGGCTAAAGAGGGAAGAGGGTTCCCCAGGTGGAGAGAGAGAGAGGGGGGAAAGGGAGGAGAGAGAGTGTTACAGTGAAAAGTGTAGTGCTCAGTGTCAAAGGCATGGAATATTCTATTTATTTATTTATTTTTAGCTGAGCCATCCTGCCACCTGTTAGCATTTCAGCGGCAGCTCAGCTCCGGTCAGGACTCAAACCGCTGTTGCTCAGAGCTCACACTCCTGAGCAAGCTCTTAACCAACTGAGCCCCTCGGCCGGCCCTCTGGAATATTTTAGATAATTCCACTGCTGAACAGTGTTTATGGGGTTTGGCAATGTGTGAGTCATCGCTCACCTTTCCAAGAGCGCCTCTTGGAAGTGGAGAGGATAGGAATCCTGTTGCCCTGAGTTGGGAAGGTGAATGGGAAGTGAAGGAGTAGAGTCACATGGTGTTGAGAATTCATTCAATGAGGCTGAATGGACATGAGCACAATAACGGATGCTACAAGGAACCCAGCGTCAGAGAAACATTGCTCTAAAAAATAAAAATCCTAGACAACTAATTTATGTCAGACACTAGGGAGACAAAAGTGATTGAAATCTGGTCCCTGCTTTCCAGGGACTCATAATCTAGTTCAGGT